TTTTACCAGGTCCCCCCCAAGTGGAAAAAAAAAGGAGGGGTTTGTTCTTTTTTTAAAATATTAAAGGGGGGGGGGGGGTGAAGATGTCACAAAAAGCATAATTTTAGGTTTTGTTTTAACAATTACTTTGCCTTATTTCTGCTAATTTACATGGGATTTGGTACAAAGATACTTTTTTTTACAGATCCCATACATATACATACAAAAATGTGGGATATGCCTATTTTTGGTTATTTTAGGGGAGTCAAAAAGTTAAATCAACCCACAATTTTAAGAGTTTGGTCAGTTACTTAGCCTTATTTTAACCAGTTTACATGGTATTTGGATCAAAGATACCTGGCAAATGGATCTCTGTGAATTATGATAGTTTTGAGATGATACACACCTCTACACACAGTTAAGCTATCTTCCTCATGCATCTGCCTCAAGAGATTTGCATGCCATTAGCCTTTAGGCAACTCCCACCTAATTTCATGAGATATCTTGTGAATTGTGGTAGTGCATAATAATGTTATAATGCAGCAAAAACTCTTCCACCAATAGGGTGACACACTTCCTTGCACATTTTATTTTTTCCTTTTCAATTTAATGAGACTTGTGAAGTTTAAGGAACTTAATTTCCTACTCCTTTTTTTTTCTACAAACTAAGAGCTCACTAGTTCATGTAACATCTACTACTTGTGTGAGTGAATACTTTCCTCACAAAGGTTATATAACAACTATGGCTTATGGAAGTACATGTTGACTTGGGATGACTTGATGGCCATTGTGCATAACATAGTGTTCCTTCCCCTCGTTTTGAGGAGAGAATAAAGGGTACAAATCTAATTGTTTCTGCATCCTTGTTATGTTTTGAAACTTCTCTCCCTCTCGAAGAGAAACCTTAAATTTTCTCACATTATCGGATCATAATTTCATGTAGGTACCATTCTTTCTCTTTCCCATGATACCTCTTGTTCCTTACTTCTTAATCCTAACCCTAGCTAATTTTGTTTACTTTTTCCTTGACCAATTATGTTCTTGTAACCTCAAGGCTCATCCTCCCCATCTACCTGATTCTTATATCTTGTTGTCATGTGCTCTTTGGCAACCTCCCCAAACAATGAGCTAATATGCAGTGCAGTACTAATGGGAAGCCACATGGCATATCATACCAAGAACTTCACTGAAAAAGTCTGCATGGATCTCTGGCAAGAACTATTGTGTATTAGCTCAGTGCATAAGGTGCTGTTATCTACTGTTTGCTAATGGGTGTTCTTCATGATATGTAGAGCATTGTTTTTAATCTTTCTTTTGTTCAGTGTATCAACTTGTGTAAATAAATGAGAAACAGACAGAGATTGTTTAACTGATGATATTTTATTCTATGGTGAATAAGGTTTCATTTCGTGTCAAAGGAAAATTTACAGGGTTGTGATTTTAAGCATATTCACAAATAAGAAAATTGTTGTTGTGAATAAAATGAGCTGGGTGGTGTTATTTTTAATTTCTCGGCAATCGTTTTCCCATGATTGGGAAATTCAAAAATTCTACTGATTCAAATTGTCACCTGATTATGCAATAATCGGCCTAATTCCGATTGTCAAACCTAATATTGGTAAAACACTGCATAATATAAAATAATAACTTTAAATGAACACAAAACAATGATTCTTTGACCTATTTCTGTCTATAACAGCCAGCTCTGCTGAGGCAGAGAGAGAATTCAGCAAGATGAAGATGATTAAGACCAATTTCAGATCTTGTCTGGGAGCTGACAGGATCACTGATCACCTTCTGGTCATGCTCCACTCATCTTCAATAAGTTAATTTGATCCAATAACAACTATCCACTTCACACAAGGAGACCAACTGTTGGGAGGGTCCAGATTGAGAAGCAGGTGCAGTAGAATGAAGAAGGGGATGAAGGAAGAATACAAGAAATGAATGTTGGGATATCATCGGGCACTAACACTGATGCATGCTAGATTTCCTTCAATTATTTATTTTGATTAAGAAAGGACGTTACTTTAATTTTAATTCATTACCACCTAAGCCATTTTACAGCTATTTACATGTTTTCCATATATTGCTAATTTGAGGATTTTGTTTATTTCAAGTTAATGAATGACTAATTAACAGTTTTTTCAGGATATGAAATAACTGATAAAGAACTGATTACTATAAAATTAGTGGTAATATAAATTAAATGATTTTTCCATCTCTTCATCAAGTGTTTGACATTTTATTGACAAATGTGTGTCAGATAGATGGTAGTCGGTTACATGGAAACTGACAGTGATACAAAGATTTTATTTCATTATTTATTTGGATTAGGAAAGGACACTACTTTAAAAGGGTAACAAAGGAATAGATAACACTGCCAGTAATGCATAGATTTTCTTTCATTATTTACTTGGATTAGGAAAAGACACTACTTTAAAAGGGTAACAAAGGAATAGATAACACTGCCAGTAATGCATAGATTTTCTTTCATTATTTATTTGGATTAGGAAAGGACATTACTGTTATACCATGCTTAAGAGAGAAATTAAATATCATATGTGAAGTAATAATCATTTAAGTAGTCTGAAAAAAAAGTGAAATTGCTTGACTTGTGTTGTTGTTTTTTTTTGCATGAAATATGAGTTCACAACAAAATAAATTGAGGTATTTTGGTATCTTTGGTTTCAATTTACGTAACATTCACTATTTAATTCAATGATTTTTCTGATAACCTCCACTGTAGAATACGTCTTATTATAAGCTATAGGATTTCCCCTAAAACTGCTTGCAGGTTTTTAAAAATGCATGTTTTGGAGGCTTGGCTAGCTCCCTAAAAAAAGTTAAGCATAAGCCATGTTAGAACTTACACACTCATTTATAAAACTCTATTTTCTTGTATATTTAAAATAAATTGATTATATGATGTGTCAGATGACAACTTGAGACTTATCAGTGCAGAGATATGGTTAATCTGCAAAATACTGGGTGAAAAGAAGGATTTCTGTGACTTTCAAACAGGTATAATATAAGATGCCCATATAGCAGGTACTTTGTTATCAAAGAATATTTCTTTAATCAAATGCTTATAAAAACCTGTCTTCAGACCATATCAGTAATAAATCAAAAAGGAATATGTCTGCCAGCAGAAAAATCCGTGGCCATCAACTGAGGGTAACAGATTGAGAAAAAGTATACATACTAGAGAGGCCTGTAACGTATAACAGGTGTTGGGGACTACATCCAAATTAATCAGTTCTCTCAAAGGTGATCTGTGGTGGATCATTTTCAACTTTATCTTGCAAGAGCCAAAAACTCACAACCATCAAAAACACTTATCTCTGATGTGAACAAGGTAGCATGGCTTCAGTGGTACATAGAGCAAACTATAAGCTTATAATGATTGAAACCATGTGATGTTGTTCTATAAGTTGCATTTCACTCTTTTTCTGCCCTGATGATAGAGCATAAATTTGTAAAAAAAGTATTACTTAAGACACTTTACCTTTCTTATGTTGCTCCAATAGTGCAAGTGGCTTGAGGTGGCACAATGGTGTAAGAAATATTCTTGGAGCAAGGGTTTAATTTTTTATTCTTTTTAATTGGCAAGTAACATTCACCTTAAAGCTGAATCGTTTTTTTTACCACATATTTCTGCATTTTTACCCTAATTAAGAAAACTCTTCATATACTAATGCCACAGTCTACCATGCTCACATATTTTTAGTACTGGTTCAGAAAATAGCAGTAATTTCAGTTACCTTCCTTGGCTAGACTAAGTCATTGAAATGCCACCATAATCATCAGTCAGTATATGTGAACCATTTGAATATTACTCTCCTCAATGACTAGGCTACAATCAAACAAGGTCTTTGTGGAGACTGTCAAATATCAAGTCCTTGTTATTATTGCCACAAAAAGTGGTCTAACCTGTTATTAAATGGAGATTTTATTCAAGATGCTAGTTAATGTACAAGTTCCAATTAATATAAATTAATGAGTTATTGTTTAGTACAGTTCTTTTATACCTGTGCAGTAGAACAGACATGTTTCATCATATGCAAATGTGGAAATTTTCAGTCTTTTATTGACCAATGAAGTTGCCCAGAATATAACATTAATAGCAATGCCAAAATATTTTGACCCATTGATCATAGCTATTAAAAGGTATATGTATCATTGTCTGTGACCTTTAATTGAGCTAAAATGTTTTTCAAAACATATTTTTTGTCCTCAATGTAATTGGCATTTAGTAATTATCAAGAATAAAAGATGTATGATCAAAGGATATATGAATAATTTTGAGATTTTGAAAATGCAAGAAGAATTTGAATCATGGAAAAGTAGAAAAATGCAAAAGGTCAAAAACTAGGAAGGAAAAAGAACAAAGAAAAAAAAAGGACAAGAAACTGTATATTGACTACTGTGTTTTTTTCACAAATGCAGCTACACCATTTCTCTGTCGTCCACCAGTTCAGACAGGGTGAAAAATTTAATAAACCTTGAGTGTGTATACAATGAAAAATATATGTTTTTTTTTAGAAGAATGTGTACCTCTTGTAACCATACTTTTCTTTTTGATAGATTATAAACTAATGTAATAGCTTAGTTTAAAAAATGTACAGACGTGTGTTAGAAATGGTCTGTCCTGTTGGTCTTTCACATTTAAGTGTAATTAAAAATCATTCGTTTTATATATTGAGCTTTATTGTTAGTCTTATTGGACAAGATAATGCCTGCTTTTAAATTATACAGATGGACTGTATGTATAATGTTGTGAACCACTGAAAAAATGATCCATATAAAGTTTTAACAATTTGCATGGTAAACAAGCAAAAAATCAAACGAGAATTTATATTTTCTAAATATCCTTTTTTCTTTTTCTAATCAGCTGTATATCTGGCTTGCAGTGTGTCAACCTTAGATGATGGGGAAAAACCATGGATGCTCCAAAAAATCTCTCAAAGAGAAAGTGGTACAGATTTATGAAGCATTTTTTCGAGTAAGTAGCTCTATGTTTAATTTCTAATCAAGCTCATTTACATCTATTCTAATTTTCCATGACATTGAACACAATGTTTAATTTTTGTTTGCAAAATTAATTAAAGCCAAAACAGGAGTTTTGTATAGAGATTTTTTAGGCTAAATATAAAATAAAAATTTCAAACTATTTTTATCACTACAGAACATATGGCAGGAATCCATTTTTTTGTCTATAAAAGCAACTGCAATTCCATTGTGTTCACATACTGTGATTGTTTGCAGAGTAACGTAATTTGATATGTAAATAAACAATACTTTCCTGAAAAGGAAATGCATTTTATCGCACTGAGTGAAAGAAAAAGTTTTCTCACTAATGTTGAAAGTGTTAAGAACAACATGAAAACATCATAAAATGTGCTTGTGTTATTGAAACTCTTGCTCAAAAACACAAAAGCAACAGCTGGCAGATGATGAAGTTAATTTTAAAATCCAGCTTTATCATTCCTTCAGTAAGAGGTATGAAGCAAGGATACCAATTTGTATTAAATAAGTAAAAATATCATGTATTTTAAGTAAAACCTAATATTGAAAAGAAATACAAATCATTAGGAACTAATTTATGAAATAGTTTGTTTTGATGTAATTACAATTGTTGTATTTTACTAGTGTGCTCAACTTAAGGTGGTACGTCATAGACACACATTAAAAGTTAAGGTGGATTTGTTTCACATATAACAGCTAACAACTAAACACAAAATAGTAACTGTGTCACATGCACTTCCTAGAACAAGGAGTTACAGTAGTTTCCAATATGGTACTTTATTTTACTTCTGCTCACATGAAGCTATTCTCATTTAGTGCTGCCCTCTATATACAATCACCAAGGTATCACCCATTCTCATTCTGTTTGTGGTCAAACATTAGAACTTCTTTATTGGGCCCATATGCTGCAGATACGTCTTATTGCATGTCATGTTGCAGATGCTTTCAACAACATTGTGGATCATCTTTCTTGACCACTTCAGGTTTATCACATGAAGTGGTCTCTAAATCTTCCATTTTCTTGTGGCTTTGCAATCAGAGTGGGACCTTTTCATTTGGATGCTTTTGCCACTTTCCTCAACACCCAGTTACATCATTTTTTTTTGTCTCTTGTTCCTCATCCACAGTCCCTGGAGGTGGATTCTCTCAGCTAGGATTGTACTATCTGTCTCCTTCCCATAGTAACTTTCCACTCCGTGTCCAATCCTTCTGATTGCTCCTTATTGGCCGGCACAACCTTGATTTTCTTTTCTTCTTCTGCTCCAAATGACCCCCTTTTCTCTCTTCTTTTCACTCCATCCTTCCTCTGTCAACCTCGGTCCCCGGACCTTTATCTTGCCCCTTCACATCCTCTGACTTCACACCTGGTCCATTGCAAGGAGATACATGCACTCCAGCCTCTGTGAGGTCCTATCCAGAGGATGATGTTGCACAGGTTACACCCTGCTACTCCTGACGATCCACCTTGGTAAGGTTGGGCCCAAGAGGATGATGATGTACAGGATAGCATGGCAAGGGTTGTATGGGACATCCCACTGAAGTTGTCTTCAGATGGAGGCTAATCCCACCAATCTCAATGTATACCCACATCAATTTGCCTTCCAAGGCAACAATCAACTACAATGTATGTTGTTCAATGTTTAAATGGCCCGATGGTTACAGTGCTTGACATGCAATGTTCAGGTCACAGGATTAAAATTCATCACTGAATATGTTTGCCATTTCAGTTATGAGAATGTTAAAATGTGACAGCCAATCCCACTGTTGTTAAAGGGTCGTCCAAAAGTTGGCAATGGATGATGTAGATTAATTGCCTTCCTTCTAATCTATCACTTCATGGCTAGCACAGATAGCCTTTGAGTAGATCTGTACAAAATTCAACAAACTATTTAAACTGTAAGTGGTGCAAAAGGAAATTAATAATTGTTTGGCAAAGTACACTGCTCAAAAATGTTAAAGAATAATCATAATTTGTAATATTATAGATATATCGTTGTTATAAAATTTTTAACCCTCCTCCATTACTTTTTTACTCCTATTAGTTCTCTGATGATCAGTCTAGTGATCTGAAACATAGTTGATTAGATATCCCTAAATGAACATTGAGAAGATGTGATTTCACATACTTATATTTCAAAATGTTTCATTTCATTACGGAGTATGGTTAACGTGAACAAAAAGAACAGCCTCACACTAATATTGCATGCTTAAAATGAAATTTTTCATAAGGTTATGCTTTCAGAGCACCTTCAGTAGTTTTGGGAAGTGGTTGGAAATCAAAGCTTGATTATTGGTTCAGGTTAATCAATTGATCATTGGTTATACAGAGGGTTGAGTGTGTTATATTAGAATGTCTTTGAATATGCAAATCATATGAAACCACATCCAGTATAAGGTCAGAGTGGAAAGGAACATATAACTATATTTTGAATTGTTTGATGTTTCACAGGTAGAGCAGGGCTCATAGTAGTAAAGTTACTAACTTAAAAAATGGTTTCTAAAATCCTTTTTTTTAAAGAAATGGTTCCTATGTTTCCTTTTTCAAGGTATATTTCTCTAAAGATTGGTATCTACACCAAATTTTCTCTTAGCCATACTCCATCCATAATCAAAACTGAAGAATGGTTATAGAAAATTACTCGTACTATCCTTTTGGCTCACATAAAGTTGCTAATTTGGTTCTTACCTCTGGAGTTTTTAGTTCATAAAATTTCTTACTTTACAACCTTTATTTCTATGATTACTGGTAGTGTGATGCCACCAAAATTTGGTCACTTTTCTGAAGCTTGCGTAACAGCCATTTCTGATGCAAAATATTCATAAACTCAGATCTTAAAGATGTGATCAGGTTGGCAATTTAGAATCTCCAACATAGGAATAACCCTGGTATTTAATGTCATTGGAAAACAAACATATGTGGATTAACTTAGGCACCAGGAATATCCATAGAGATCTACAACAAGTCTTACCCCAGCTGTGGTAAGCAAAGCGTAGTGTCATGTAACAAGTGAGAATCCACAAACATAAAGGTCAGTAGCAAAAGTTATCCATTTGCCCCAGGCAACAGTATGCAACATAATCAAGAAGAATCATCATCCAGAAAACCAACACAAATTACATGTACTCAACTTTCTTCCAGAACACAACCCTTCAACTGTTGCATATCTCGAACAGCTGGAGAATGAAAGGGATATTCATGCTATTCCATATGAATACATAGTTGTCAAGTCACCAGATGCAGTGCCTATGGATTTCTGTATAATAAAACCATTGAAAGGGGCACTGAGAAACTGCCATCCTTGCACACTAGATAAACCATGAAAATGCATCAGGAAGTGGTAAAACAATCAGAAAACACATGAAGTTAATTATCTTTCTCTCTTGTATTCACTATTTGACAGTATTCTTATTCACTGTAAAATTAATTCACATCCACTGTCTACTTTTTAGATTTTGTATAAGAAATGCATCTGAAGCAAATTGCAAGAAAGATTGGACACTTTGAAAATGTGATTTGTTTTATGAAAAATTCAGTCAATAAAAGTTAAACATTGTAATTTGTTAATGAACACATTAGCATGTGTGGGAATTTTTTTTTTCTGAAAATAAACAGACTATAACTTCCTAACACTTCTCTTCAACAATAAACATAATCATCTGAGTGATTTGGAAGATACTCATCAATCTGTCATTGTTTTCCTGGAACTACGCAACAAAGAAAACTTGTAGGAAGTAAAATGGGAATTAACCCTTTCACTATGGGTAGGTCAAATTGTGCAGTTGACTTTTTAGAGAGTTACTTTCAACATTTAAATAAACTACATTATTATTATGATATGCAAACAAACATGGCATCAAAATATATTTAATAAATCAAATTTTGATATAAATTTTAAGTTCTTAATTTTATAAGGAAATATTTAAAATATCCTCAATCTTACCCTAGTATAAGAATTGTGACTTGTTTTCTAGGTATACCCTTTTCTGTAATTTATTTACCACTCCTCCGAGAAGTATGGAATTTAACGTAAGTGAATTATTATAATAAAGTTATTACTGAGGCAAAGCATAATTTTTTATAGCCTTCAATCTTATTTGTTTATGGAGCCATAAAATAGAAAATCAGACCCACTTCCCTCACCAATCTGTCACATTCTTTCTTTCACAAATTGCCATTAGTTTTGTCTGATATTTAATACTATATTATTTATAACCAATAGAAAACCAAAGTTTTAATCTATCAAATGGCATATTATGATAAGTTATTTTCTGTACAAAGAATTGTCTGTTCCACATCCAGTTCAAACTTTATACCTATGGGAAACACATGAACAATCTTAGCTGAATTTTTAGTGGCTCTTATTGCATTGTTAGAAAGCCAGAAAAATGATGAGAGTTATAGGACACTGTTTCCTTTTTATGTGTTATATATTATTCTATTTTCTTTGTTGCATTATTTAATTAAATAGATTATTTAATATAGTAGTTCCATTAGCAATAAAAAAAGTAGGGGTAACTTTCATCGACAGTCTAAAGCAAAAAAAGAAAGATCAGGGTAAGTAATATATATTCTTTATTTATTATTCTAAGAGTAACCAAAATGTAAAAATTAGAAACTTATTAGGTTAGATAGGTAAGATAAAGAAAAATGATAACAATAATAAACATTTTTACATAATTTGATAGGGTAACGTAAGCTACACATTTGCCGAGTGATTTAAAACTTGTGTGGTGGGATTATTATTTAGACACATTTCAAAAGGCATTAAATTTGAATTAGAAACAGATGTGTGCTGTTATGAGCTTTAAGCTAATTAGGATAAGCAAATGTAATTTCATGTTGCAATTTGAAGTTGTTCTAGAAAGAAAAAAGGGTAATTTAGATTTAATATTTTTTATGGTGGTTATGAGGTCAGTTAAATTGACCAATCCTTTATAGAGTTAGAATAGAGAAAATAACATATAAAATATAATGTT